CTCCCAGATGACGTCGCTCGGCTGGAGACGGTCAAACTCGAACACGAAGTCCGGGTAACCACGTCTCACCTGGACGTGAGCGTAACGACGCTGCAATAAACATGATCGGAATTAGACATGTTATGTGAAGAAAAAAAAAAGATGACTGATAAACTTATAACGCAGCGAAGTTGCACTAACCCCACGTCGACACCAGTAAGTCCCCATCGTGGGACCGTCCTCTGGCCACTGCGCGCTGCGACCAACCCCATAGGGTGCGCTGTCCACCACTGGTCGACCTATGGCAAACCTCTCGGCTGCCCAAAGCTGAAGCAACATAGGGCAGCCAGCGATGATCGCTCCCGCGTCAGTCTTCGTGCACGCCTCACAGAGGGCACGGTACGTGGCTGCTAGCACGGCAGAACCCCAGCTCCACTGCGGCACGTCCTGTGGCTGAGCATCCGCGATGGACCGTGCGTAGTGGACCAGCCGGAAGTCCACAGCGTGCCCGTGGGTGCTAGTGAACATCACCCACCCGAACAACCACAACAGGTACGCCTCAAGGGAGCGTCGGACCGAGTAATCATCAGCGTCAGGGTGTAGAAGGTCCGCCTACAATTAAGAATGAAATGTTAGTACAAAACACTCATTCGGTCGCAAATAAGCACGTATGATAATAACAACTTATTTACTTACAGTGAACTGGAGCAACCAAGCCTTGCTAGGCCCGACTGTAGAGTACGGAGGAAGGGTGGTGGTCGGTCCTAGGTGTGGAAGGCGCATCACCTGCTCGAAGCGCGCAGTGATATCCTCCTTCCACCCAAAAACACCGTCCACGGGACCAACTGCTGCTCCCGCCAGCGGTAGCCCGAGCAGGTACGACACGTCCTGCAGTGTCGGAGCCATCTCCCCACAGGGAAGGTGGAACGTGTGCGTCTCAGGTCTCCAGCGGTCTACAAGAGCGGCAAGGAGTGACCGATCTGCATCCCACCGCTTCGCTAGGTCACGGTCGTCCGCCGCCGCCTCAACAAGCCTACAAAGTGGTAGAAGGCCTGCCGCACGCAACCTGTATAGAGCAAACTTCAAACATAAGTACAACACAAAGCAAAGTTGAGTTGAAATGTGAACATACGCGTACCAAGGAACGTGACGGGGGTCGACACGCAACCACTCGCGCGACGTGCGTGGACGGAAGGTGCCGAGCTGTGCACCCTCGACTGCTGACAGGAACGAGCGGTGGTTCCTGTCAATCCCACGGTTCAACAGCGCCGGTGTGTCGTACGCCATACCTGCATCAAATAGGTTGATCAGAAACATATAAATAATTAGTTCAACATAAGTAATAAATGTTGAACTAAGCGAATTACTAACACATATTAAACAAGAGTACAAACAAACAAAAGTGTTTACTCCGAACACTCATCACGATAACATTATGATACAACACCGAATAATTCGCAATACTACTAGTACAACAATAGTCGGAGGTACTCATTACAACAACATTGAATTGAAATTACACGATAGAAGTATTTAGTCCGAACACTCATTACATCACAACAGCATTTTATTTCCTAAATCGAAAGCATTGTTACACCATGGAATCGCCTGCTGCGCGACGACGCCTTGGCCTTGCGCGCCTGCTTGTTGTTCCTTCACCAGGTGGTCGCCTACCATCACTTGCCTGTCCAGATGGACTAGCATCTGCGCCGCTTGGAACTTCTGCATTCTTCGGGCATTTCTTGTAAGTATGGCCGCGCAGATCACAATTGCTGCAGCGTAAAGTCCTCCCACCTGCTTCTGACTCATCCATATCATTTCTGATGCGTCTAGTTTGGCGTCGACCCTTTTTCACCCTTAACTTAGATGGATCTGGAATATAAAAAACTTGGGCACTCAGCGTTGTGTAAGATCCTGAGATCCCGAACCCATATATCTCCTCACTCCATGTATGAAAGATTGCTTCTTTCCTGAAATAATTTGAGACGTACACATTGGGAGATATGCCACAATCACCGGCAGCAGCAAGAACGTGTGAGCAAGGAAGGTGATGAAGCTTCGGCTTCATACAACTGCAGGTACATCCACCATCCGCCTTCAAGACACATTCCTGCACGGCTTGCTTGCGATAGATACCACGCCTGCTCCTATCAACACACATTATTTCATACCGATGCACTTGTGTGCCTTGAGCAACAACTCGATGTCTCCGTGCCTTTTTGATTTTATCTTCCATGTACTTTGTCACTACGTTGCCAAACACTATGTTGTCATCGGCCATGGACGGACCAATTTTCTTGTATCGATCCCTAAAGTACGCTTGCGTGCCGTGAAGGATGAATTCAACAATAGCAACCAATGGAAGTACCCGAACTCCTCGCATTACCCAGTTGTACACCTCTGCCAAATTGGTTGTCATTATGCCATACCGAGATCCATCGGTGTCGAACAATAGAGACAACTTCTCCTTAGGCTCATTCTCAATCCACTGAGTGAAATTTCTGATGGACGACCCTGACCTCCTTCTCATTGTTGGTGGGTCATCATGTAATGCACCAAGAGGTATGGGAGGCTCGTCACCTTCAACTAGTGGACTGCGAGATTGCTCATCTGTTTGCTTCGTTGTCAACTCATCCAACTTGTCCCACAACTCATTAAATTTCTTCTCTTGGTTCTGTGCACAGAGCCTCTTAAAGAGCTCCATAAGATGCTTGTTCTTGAATTGCTTGTAGAAATTTGCACCCATGTGACGCATGCACCACCGACTCCGAACATCAGGCCACTTAGCTGGAAGTCCCTTCTCATCCCAACCGTTCTGCAAGTAGTCAATAGCCCGCAACATACCCGCATGACGATCATGTATAAGGCAAACGTTGGGCCTCATACGCACCACTGCAATGTGCACTCTCTCTAGGAACCAGTACCAGCTTTCAGTGTTCTCACTCTCTACAAATGCAAAAGCCATAGGTAGAACCTGGTTGTTCCCATCACACCCAATTGCTGTCAATATCTGACCTCGGTATTTACCTGTCATAAAAGTTCCATCTATGCATAGAACAGGTCGACAATGCACAAAAGCATTGATGCAAGCACCCAATGAGAAAAAGGCTCTTTGCAGCACACTCTTTGTTCGATCATCAACCGATGTAAATGTATGTAGGTCATAGTACGTATTATTATTCCTCTGGGCAATGGTGGCTAACAAACGAGGCAAATTATCATAAGAAGCTTCAAATGTGCCATACCTCATCTCAATGATCTTTTGTTTGGCTCTCCAGGCCTTTGCATAGCTTATGGTGTACTTGAATTTGTTCTCGATGTGCCTAATAATTGATTTTGGTTCAAAGCCAATGTTACCAACAACACTGCTGTACATCTCACTTGCCACAAAAGCTGAAGTGATGTTTCGGTGATACTTCTCCACCCCTTGTAAGTAGCACTTGTGCTCGGTCACAATGCTAACTTTCCAATAATCATTCCATTTACCCTTATATGCATGGACACGCCACGGACAATCTTCCTTCATGCACCTCACTTCATACACATAATTTGTTGACTTGACCACCCTAAACTCTCTCTGCAAGGAAACTGCCCAATGCTTCACCGCCTCCTTCATCTCATCCTTATGAGCATATCTTGCACCCTCAATTACCTCGTTCTCCTTATACTCCCAGGGTACATGATCACCCTCTGATATAACAAGTCCAGAGAAGTCCTCATTTGCCCAATCAGTGGCCATTACATCACCTTCCTCATCGGATGATGCGTCGTCGTCCACTTCCTCATTATCCGAATCTTCCCTCTCCATTTCATCAACAATTATACCGACTCTCTCCCCCTCATCCGCCATGCCCATAGCCTGCTCCTCCCTTGGTTGATTTTCCTCATTTTGCATCGATGGTCCAACAACATCCCCTGCATTGATAGGACCCTCTACATCTTCGGTTTGCATTGAAACATTTATATCTTTCTCTTGTACCGACACAAATATAACGAGGGGCCATGACCGTTCAAAAGCCATTTCCACATACCGTCTCCAAGCATCAGTGCTGTCCATCGGCATTAGTTCCCAAAAATAACCTTCTGTTGCACGACTCACTACAACTGACACTGACATTGTGTAGACTTCTTGGTCTATTCTAAATCCTCTCAACAACCAACTATAAATTGACTGAAATGTTCTCTCCGCAGGCCTATCGATGCCCTTAGATGTCATTACAAAATCTGACAGATCAACACCATCTGGACCAAATCTAATATTTCCTTCACCGTGAACTATCTGAAATGTGACCTTACTTGACATTGTGCCTGATGAAAACAATAACTGCGTTAACCTCGCATTTCTGTACTACGCCCTAAGTTACATTCTCTACAATATTGTTCTCTAAATTTCTAAAATTACGTTACATTCTCCAGATCAAACTAAACTACATCTTACAATTAACACTACTGTCTATGTCTCAATTCATACTATTATATTCTATGCTCTGGATCTACACATATGTGCTGTGTGCTACAGATGTGCTAAAATATATGGAACTAAAACTAAAACGCAACATATATACTCAAACATAACATATTAGTACAAATGCACAAAAGATGTATGGGAGCATACCTGTGATGAATTGAGCGAACCAGCAGGGCTTCGCCGCTCCCCTTCTGCTGCCCTCCCCTCTCTCTCTTTTGTTTTTTTTGGATTTTTAGTGAATATAATGAAATTTCACAGAGGAGGGACTGGGCTTTATAGGGGGAGAGGCAAAAATCGCCCTCCCCCAGGGCGGCAAGGGGGCCGCCTGCAAAATTCCATGCCCCCTCGCCGCCCATTTGCAGGCGGCCCCCCCCCCCCCACAGTACAAAATCGCCCTAGCTGAGGGCGGCAAGGGGGCCGCCTGCAAAATTCCATGCCCCCCTCGCCGCCAATTTGCAGGCGGCCCCCCGCACAGTATAAAATCGCCCTAGCGGAGGGCGGCAAGGGGGCCGCCTGCAAATTTCGTTGACGGCCGTCGCCCGAGAGCGAACGGCCGTCTGCCACGTCATTTTCGCCGCCCTCCCAGAGGGCGGTAGGCGACTCCTTCCGTCAATTTTCAAAATGGAAAATTATTTTTGTAAAACTTTTAATAAAAAAAATTATAAATAAAAAAAATTCGTGTCCAGTGGTCGCAATGTAATACGGGGATGAATACCTACACATATTAAAAAACAATATAATGTTCAAATTTTACTTAATTAACAGAATGCATGCATTCTGTAATTTAAGTCGTATGTAAGAAGTCATATTTCATCAATGGACCGATTTGGTGACAAGATATTAGCAAGTATTTTTCAGCCCTACAAAATTAGGATATAATAATTAAGATCGATCATACCAGATGTGATCCTGAAGCATCATACAGAGTAGAGTCACACGAATATGCAATCCTCAGATTCGTGGGACTAGCGACCAGTTGCTGTGGAGGAAAAAACAAACAAAAAATAGGTGTCATTTGTGACACTACTAGAAGAGTTGACTCGGAATTATCGGCCCCATCGTTTGGCTGATTTTAAGCATAAACAAAATGGCATATTTGCAAATAGAAAATAAGTTGTAAATAAACCTTTTTATGCATATTTTAGCAATATAAAAGTAAAGACTGAAAAATAAATTACGATGAAAAAAACCCAAAATCAACTTTAAATTTAAGGTTTAAAATTTAAATTTTGGCTGATGAGTATAAGCATAAGTGAAAAAAAAAAGACTGTATATCCCCCCCCCCCCAACTCTTGCGCAACCAACTTACCGTCCAATCTGATTTAACGTAATGCCTCCAACCCAAACACTCAGTGTTCTTAAAATTTTCAGCATCCTCTGTTGCCAAATTTCTCACAGCTAAGTTGAGGCAATCGGTATCCATCAATCCTCCAGGTTTTACTGTTTCCTGGATATCTTCAAGCTTTAATCTGATGGGGAACGATGGGTGCTTGATTGATACCCAATCGGTCCTGTATCGTTATCGCAATTATCAATAAGGCAGGTCATGGATGCAGTAAATAAACATCACAGCCTAACAGGTCGATGTTTCAAAGACAAAGTCAAACTTACTGTTTTGACTCTGAATCGGTAAAAGCCATAGTCAAGCTGTACAATTCATCTAGTATGCTAGGATCGGGTCTCTTGAGTAATAGATGGTGTTTTACCACGAATGGTGACTGTAGCTCAGCGTTTGGTTCTACCACAATCTTAGTCATTGCAGGCACCCTATCATTTCCTTGTTCTACTAGCTCTGTATTCCCACCAGTGCTAACAGACGGTGGCGCTACTTCTGATCCTGTACATGTCACATGGAGAATGCAAAATTTAAAAAGTTGTAACTCACAATGAACCCAAGTTATGCAACTAAGAAACAAATAATTACACCTCGCAGACGAGGTGGCAGATCCAGCCTGAGGTCTGGGGGTCTTCAGCACCTCCTACCCACTGGATCTCCATGGAGGAAGAAGGCAGCGAGCCCCCTGACCTCAAGCTGCATCTGCCTTTGAGCAGACGCACACAACTCTGAAATATTTTACAGTGACATATGCCTGCAATAAAACACAAAAAAGAAAAAAAAAACGCAACACTAGCTTACTCTATGAAGGGAACTCTAATACCTTCGGAAGGTATGTCATCACTGTTTAGCAGTCCCGAGGGCTCATGGCTAGAAGACATTGCAGGCAATAGTTAAACGTTTTGCCTTCTCTGTTTTTCAAATGAAGAGGGGTTAGCCTTTAACGGGTGAGCTCAAGACTATCAAATCCGAATATATTTTCTCCCTGATATGAAAAGGCGGTGAAACCAAAAGTACTCATTTGCTTAAAAAAACATCTTTCCTGAGGGACAACAATAAGAATGGCTGAAGCGTCGTAACATTTTTTTTTTCAATTAGGTTAAAAAGAACTTTGTTTTTGGTTACTGTACAAACAACAAGGAAATGTGTGAATTTCGAGGCAAAATGATGGTATAAAAGAGAAGAGTAAGCCCTTGTTTAGTTCCCAACTTTTTTATTCAAACTTCCAACTTTCCATCACATCAAAACTTTTCTACACACATAAACTTCTAACTTTTTTATTCAAACTTTCAATTTTAGTCGAACTTCTAATTTTGGCGTGGAACTAAACACACCCTAAAAGGGCTTTTTTTTTTCCTTGGGGAACACCTGACAGGTCTAGAAGCTGAGCTTCTTTACTGTCTTCCTTTCCAAAAATGAACTGATAAATGTTCACGTTAAGGTTTGAAGATCATGAGGAAAAAAAACGGCCTCTGGATATACCGTTAAATAAAGAGTGTGGTGTATGTTGAATGTGCCTGTACTCTGACTGAAATTAAGTTCAAACAACGGAGATAGTGCAATAGTAATTTTTGCTTTTTTTTTTTTGGAAAGGCTAGAAAAACTAGAAAGAATTACTTGGAATCGGAAGCTGAACTGGAGATAACTAGGAAATAAGGCTTAAGAGCACACCTGGAAATGAAGGACTATGACTTGAATGTGGGGGTGAGGCGAGAAATTTCGCATGAGACAAGGAGCCTTATATAGAGTGAAACAACTGGGCTGGGTTGGTGGGAGCTTGACTTTTTTTTACGCTGACAAGTTGACAGCTAGTCTGGTACAGTCTGTTAACTGCTATTGGATTTAATAGTCCTCAACTATCTTTATGATATGTTTAGTTCAGCGCAAAGTTTGAATTTTGGTTGAAAGTGGAGATGATGTGACTAAAAAGTTATGTGTGTATGACAGGTTGATGTGATGGAAAAGGACTGAAGTTTGGATTTAAACTTTGGATCTAAACATAGCCTTAGGTGAGGGTTGCTAATAACCATCACCTCCGACACGGAAAACGGAGCAATGAATTAATACATGATTAATTAATTGTTATCTTAAAAAAACTTTAAAAATAGATTAATATGATTTTTTTAAAACAACTTTTTTTATAGAAAATTTTTGCAAAACACACATTGTTTAGCAGTTTGAAAAGCCTTAGGTATTGTTTAGATCCCAAAATATTTCAAGAAATCTGTAAATAAAATCAAAGTTTCTCAAGTAATACTCTTAGATCGCTCAATGTCTACAATTTCTCTCCAAGCCTACCTCTAAAATGTTTATATGGGGAGCTCAATGTAGGGAAAATAAATGAGGCATTACTTACATCACAAGTATTGTAAAATCACAAAGAGGACCCAAGAAGAAAATAAATCATACAATATGATCAAGATGTGCAAGTGCAAGTGTGAGGCTATATGGTGGTAGTTGTTTGGTGCTACACCTTGTCATAGACTATATTTTTTTGCATGATGCTCAAGATTATTTTTGGGCATACACTCCTTTTCTCCTTTTTTTCTCTTTTTTTCTTCACATAATACTTGAGAATATTTTCTACTTCTTTCTTCTTTTTTTTTCAATCGCAACCATTTCTTTTTGCAAACTACTACCAGATACATTTTGGTCGACAAGATGGAGTACTTTATTTGGCGGATGGATTGCTAACCCCCAATGCAGAGGTAAAGCAAATATCATGGGTTGATTGGCAGGTTTTTGCTGACCTCTAGTGTAGAGGTCAAACATATTTAGTGGCGTGTGATCTTGATCAGGGAAGCATGAAGAGATTCTCACAAGGGTCACAACAATTTCAAAAGCTCAATGTAATGATAAGTAGTATATGTGTGAAAGCTTTGCAATGTAATCATCATATGACTTTGGTAGGAATTTACCATTATTGAGAAACTTATATATTTTCATTCTTTTGGAAAAAAAAAACTATGAATGTCAAGTATAACTTGAAGAAAGATTAAAGCAACTCTACTTCACTATCTCATATCTCACTACAACTTAGAATTAGATCATGGATATGCAACCATAAGTTTCAATTTCAAGGCAAGGATTTTTATCCAACAAACTCAAAACTTATGTGAACACTAAGCTGTAAACTAGGAACTAGAGGGAAATAAAGTAGAGCAATTGTTCATCATTTCAACCTTGAGAACTAAAAAACATTCTTACCTCGCAGGGAAAGTAAATATTTTTGGTATTCTATTTATCTTTTCCAAAATTTTATCAATTTTCTTTTTTTAGATGCAATGAAATGAAATGAAGAGACAAGTTACCTTACGTGGGGGCCCTCGGGATGTCTATGATTGGACCATCCTCCAACGCTCCAACTTTCACGGTTATAAGAGTAATTAAGCATGTGCATTCAACTGGTCCTATCATCTTAATGTTTCCTAACCATTGTTTGATCATAGCTTTAATAGGAGAGATTTTAGTCTTTTTAACCATGGTATATAGGATTCTCAACTTATCTTTGCATATTGGCCTCATATCTTCCCGAGGGAATAGAGTAAAGCCAGCCATTTGTGTATCAAGCGTAAGGTTGGGTTGTGGATGTCATTGGTTCGTGGTTTCCCACAGACAACTTCACCCACAATGTGATGCCAAAACTCGTTCCTGTTGAAATCCGAAGTTGTTGACTCCAAGTCCACAGAACACCTTTTGTTGAATCCCAGATAAATGCATAGGCTCTTCCATTTGAGATGGTATTGTGTTATGAAAAATCAAAACATAATACCATTGCCCGCATCTCGCAAGGTGTAAAGAAATTGTATGCTAAGAAAACATGGGCCTTGCTCATCTACAGGCATAAGAACTTCTGATCCTATAGCTTGCCATACATTGAAATCAACATCCATACCAGTTTTGATGAGCTGGTCTGGGTCGTATGCTCGCGTTTGAGTGAACACCCAATCCTTGAGGTTGACATAGGTTTGCTTCTCATGATCATTTTCCACGTCGGGGTCTGTATCAGGGTTCTCGCCTTGATCTTCCTCCATGGGCACATGGCCATAGGATTCCACTTACACTTCACTCAGAGCGTACTGAGTGAATGGACATGTGCTCAAGCTATGTGTGTTGTGTCGGGAGCTAAAACTGGTAGCTCTCTTCATCGCGCTAAAGAATCATTTTGTGCTTTTCTTCATCCTACACGAAGAGCAAAAACACACAAGAACCCTCGTAAATGGGTTATGTTAGCAAATGCAAGTTAAAATCGTCCTTGTGGGTGATAACACTCCACAAAATTATTCTTGTAGGCGAGACTTCGCCACAACAATCGTTCTTCTTGCGAGGTAGTGGCAACACGTTCTTGCAGCTCAATACATAATGTTCACTTGAAATGCAAAGGATGAAAAAGTGCAACTCTTTTTGTTCAAACTTGACACAACATAAACTTTGAGAGAGATAGAGAGAGGGAGAGAGAGAGAGGAATCCAAGGGCGAGCAAGTGCAGCATAGTTTAGGGCAATGAGAGCAAGAGCCATAGGGTGGCTTTTACATGGAAGGAACCACCCTTTGGGTCTTCATTTCAAGAAAAAATTGCCCACTCAATCATAGCTATATTAAAATTCGATTAACATAGCTATATAAATTGCTTTCATTTGGGAGATTTGGACTAGAGACTTCGATGTTTGCTTTGCACATGCACTGAACAATAATTTGGATTAGGTCAAATTGGATTTGGTTATTCCCAAGTTCGAGCTTCTTGGGAACTCAATCATAGCACTCAAGTCGTTTGTGTGATGGAAGTCTACCCTGCAGAGCAACCTCTTGATCAACCATAGCACCCTAAAGGCAACTGGCTTGATTAATTTGAGAAAGTGAATAATATATATAGTTCGAGGCCAAAAGGCATCCATGCATTCCCAGTTGCATTGCATATATATGTTTCTAAATGCTCCTCTGAATAAACTTTAGTCGTATAATTGTGACTAGTGGCATAGGGAATCTTACCAAATACTAACGGAGTATATATGGCACGTTAGTCAGCAATTAGCCAGTGGACTTGTCACAGATCTGACATGCATGTTAATTAATTAGGATACCGTGGCCTTTGGATATATAAATGGACGCTCATACTTTATGGGGAGTCCATTGTTCATGCATTATCAGTTTTACTTAAGAAGCTACTAGTAATTCAGTAGGTAATTAGTATTAGGGCAGTCCCAACCCTCCACCTAGGATGATGTCTATGGCATTAACTATATTGTCATGTAGGACTTTTAACTTATGTGGCACTATATTAATTAAGAGAGAGAGTAAAGAGAAGAAGAAACTGAGTCTCATGCAAGACACAGCTTCAACACGAGAACCTATACACTAGACACTATCAAGTTTTGTATTGGGAGATAATAGTGTCTTCATAATAGATGAAGAATAAATATGATTGGTAGAGAAGAAAGATGATGTATTTATTAATGGTCCACTTTAAGAAACCATGAGTTGTAGAGTGTAGTTTCTATTGTGATGTCTTATTGACATGGCACCATAGACACTGCTTATGGACACTATGGGTTGGGACTGTCCTTAGAGAACTTTTATGACTTTTCATTCAAAAAGGTAAAACTCCAACACTCCTCAATCACAGATACCATGTACAAAATAGAGTTAAAAGGGCAGAATTGTCCCCAATTTAATCAGTACAACGTAGGTACGATCATACGAGTTAATAAGACATTTGCTCGGTACTAGCATTGCAGATCCTCATTTGCATAGTTTTCTCTAGATTTATGTTGTATTCTTTGATGTTCTCTTTTCGTGGTTTTTTCTAGATTTATGATGTGTTATTAGAATGCATTACTGGCATAAAAGTTCTTAGAACACGTTGTGAGCGCAGCGGTTCAAATCCTAGAATAAGAACAGAGGTGATACCATTCCATTCCTTTTCTCAATGGTATTTGTGAACTTAGTAACTAATAACACATTTGCTCGCTACTAGCATTACAGATTCTCATTTGCATAGTTTTCTCTAGATTCATGATGTGTTCTTTGATGTTCTCTTTTTGTGGTTTTCTCTAGATTTATGATGTGTTATTAGAATACATTATTGGCATAAAAGTTCTTAGAACACGTTGTGAGCGCAGCGGTTCAAATCCTAGAATAAGAACAGAGGAGATAATGAGATATCATTCCATTCCTTTTCTCAATGGTATTTGTGAACTTAGTAACTAATAATTAATCAACTATGTAAATAAGATCTTACCTAATGAGCTTCTATCACGTCCTGATAAATTCATCCCGAAATAAAAATCATTTTCTAAAAGGAATAATAGAATTAATTAAAATTCGGAAAGAAATTGGCAAACACTAAAATACGTACAAGAAAAATTCGAATGTGGCCCGGAGAATTTTTGTTAAATTCTCCTTGGTCAAAAAGGAGCCCTCAAATTTTACTTGAATTTTCAGAGCACCGGAAATAATTATTAAGCAACAAAAACAATTATCAAAGTTTATTAAAAAGAAAAACCTAAAAATAAATCCTCTTCCTCCTTTGGGCCAAGCCCAGCCCAAAGTCTCCCTCTCCTCCCTCTCTTTCTCTCCCTCTCCTTCTCTCCCTCCTCCTCTTGGGCCTCCTCCCCTCCCGGCCCACTCCCTCCTCCCTCTCTCTCCCGGGCTCCCTCGCCCTCCTCTCCTCCTGGGCCGCCTCTCGGCCCAAGCCGTTCC